GCCCGAGTCCTGACGGTTGAAGAGTCGCGCCTGGTCCGGCGGCGTCGCCCCGACAGAATTCTTTTTGTTCGAGGATGGCGAGACGTTTTCAACCCGGCGAGGGGGCGGGGGCCGCCCTGGTGGCCAAGAGCAGGTAGTGCGCCCATGGCCATCAGGATCCGGACGGCGAAACATTGCAAGTGCATGCCCCGACGCCACAGTCGGTGAGCATAATGCTATGTCTCCAGCTGGTGGCTTCGATGGGATGGGCCCTGGGGATCGCGGATGCCAAGAACGCGTTCTGCCAAAGCAATCGGCTGCAACGGCCCCGGGGAGCCATTTTCGTGGAGACCTGCGCGGGCCTGAGTTTGTCCAGGGAACAGCTCATCGAGCTGGCGGCGCCCGTTTACGGACTGAACGATGCCCCGTTGCTGTGGCACAGAACGCTCACCGATTTCTTGTCTGATTTGAATTTCAAGCGATCGTTTTTCGAGCCATGCCTGCGGCTGCAGCGCTCCGAGAGCGGCCGACTGCAGTCTCTGATTTTGATAGAGGTCGACGACCTCATTGTGGCCGGCGATTCTAAGGTGCTTCCAGATGTGAAGAGGCGTCTCACGGAGAGATTCGGGTTCGGTAAGTGGGAGGCAGGCAAGGCTGATTACGCAGGCAGGCAGGTGCGACAGGTGGCGGGGGGGAAAATCTTGGTCGACCAGGAGAAGTACGTTCGCGAGAGGCTGTGTCCCATAGCCCATAGCCCTGGACAAGCAGCGCCGAGCTCAGACTCAAGATCATTCTGCGGGAGTCTAGATCATAGGGTCATAGATCCATAGGGGTTCGGGGATGTGTGTGTCTGTATTCTGTTGGGTGCCACTTGGGTTTTGCTTGATATCCATTGGATTTTGATAGATTGCATGTGGGCTTTGATGGGGATGGCGATGTGAACGGTGGTACCGATGGCGAAGGCGACGACGATGATGGTGATGATGCAGGTGGGAGCTGGTGAAGTTGATGACGTTGATGATGGGATGTGGCGATGGTGAGGATCATGATGGTGATGGCAATAAATTCGATGATGACGATGAAGATGGTGAAAATCAGGATGGTGGCGGTGCCGATTGTGATGGCGACGATGATAATGATGATGGTGATGATGATGATGTGATGATGGTGTGTTTTTGTTTTCGCAGGCGAGTACTGAATCAGCACAGGTCCATGCCCCAAACTTGGCAGGAGGCACTGTGCCACTCTGCCACCCCAAATGTCTAGATCATAAGGTTATTGATCCATAGAGTTTCGGGAATGTGTGTGTCTGTATTTTGTTGGGCACCACTTGGGTGTTGATTGATATCCATTGGATGTTGATAGATTGCATGTGGGCTTTGATGGGGATGATGATGTGGACGGTGGCACCGATGGGAAGTTGATGACGTTGATGATGGGATGTGGCGATGGTGAGGATCATGATGGTGATGGCAATCGGTTCGATGATTCTTGCCCACCGAGATGGGGTCCTACGGGCGCCTCGGATACAGGCGGCGACGAGCGAGCCTAGTTCGATTCCGAGCTACGGGATATTGAACCAGGCTTGCGATTCCTGAGACCACTCAGCCGTGCGCTTCCAGACGCCCGTTTGGGCGTCGAGGGAAAATTTTAAACATTGGCGTAATAAAAATCTTACGCCCGCGGTAATCGAAACCCTCATAGGTACAAGGGGTTCCACCACCATCACCTCCAGTCTCGAACAGGAACGACGACTTCAAGATGATGTTGTTCTTGTCGGGGCGAAGACCAGCACGGCTGTCGAACTATATATTCTGAAAGTACCATCCCCGAAATTCCACGACCCGTGCCAACGCGTGATATTGCTGCCACACTGCCACTGTACAAGACCAGTTTGTCCATCCAGGTATAGGACCCCCTTCTGAAATGCGTGTGTGACGTCCTCGTTGAAGTGCTGGTAAGCCGTCACTGTCCTTGGAGGAGTTACTGGAGCCAACGCCATGGAACGCGTTGTAGCGGTTGGCAGGGCACTGTCACGATTGAAGGGTGTTCGGTCCCCAAATGGCGTCTTGAGCCAAATTGGCCACGGATGGCAATAGGTTCGATGATGACGATGAAGATGGTGAAAATCAGGATGGTGGCGGTACCGATTGTGATGACGACGATGGTGATGATGATGATGATGATGATGATGCTGATGATGATGATGATGATGTGCTTTTGTTTTCGCAGGCGAGTACTGAGTCAGTGCAGGTCCATGCCCCAAACCTGGCAGGAGGCACTGTGCCACTCTGCCACCCCAAATATATACAGCAACCCGCATCAACCTGGACGGCAGAGGAGGCACTGCGCCACTCTGCCACCCAAATGTCTGCATCAGCCTGGACGGCAGCACGTTCTGTTATCATGTAGCCACCTGCGCGCCCACGCCTCGTCTCTTTCTGGCGTCTGTGTGAGCACTCGAAACAGCGGCGATCGATTTGCCCATTTGTTTGCGGCGGTATCCCAGACGCGCGCCTTCCAGGACGGTGCGTCGCGTAAACCAGGGCTGGCGTGAAGTTGGAATTGGCCGTTCCATTAGCCGCATTGCGCACACCCAGTGTAAACCAAGCCTGGGATAACAGGTGGCCCATGACCATGGATTCCTGCTGGCGGCGCGGGGGCTGCCGCTGGCGGCGGTAGCGGAAGCTCGGGCGCTGGCGGCGCCGGCGCAGCGCCTGGCACTGGTGGCGCTGGCGCTGGCGCGGGCGCTGGAGGTGCTGGCGCGGCGCCTGCTGGCGCTGCCCCTGGCGGTGGCGGTGGCGGCGGTGGTGGTGGCGGTGGAGGCGGCGGCTCCTCAGGAGGGTGGCCTGCCATGGGCCCAGGCTTGGCCTTCGCCTTGGCCTTTGTCTTCGCTTTCTTTTTCTTTGGGCCTGCAGTGTCCAAGCCAGCGAGTTTCCGTTTCTGGTGCAATTTGTATTCGGCGCATCGCTGCCGAATCTGCCTTTCCTTGATGGCCTTCCCGACCTCTGGGAAGTCGTTCTTGTCTTCAGCGTCGAGGTCCTCGAACACTATCTCGACCATCGCGTCATCGAGCGCTGAGGTGCAACCTACGTCGGACGTAAAGGACGTGTAGATCACATCACCCGCGACGTTGGCAGGGTCGTCGGGGTCCAGCGACTTCCCAATGATGTTACAAGCGTCCTTCGGAGTCGTCGCCCCTTCGGGAACGTCAACATCGCTGTTAAAGCGAGCGCACTGCAAGAGGTCCTGGAAGTTCAGCGTGTTAGCATATGTCGTCAGCGCGTGCCTCATGAGAAAAGCTGGTTCTGCGATCTGTTTCATGACCACTCCAGCGCCGGCCTGCACGAATGCCACTGTGGGGACGACCTTCCAGTCGGATGGGTCCGTGACATGGAGCCACGCAACGGGATCCTCAGGGCGATGCACAAATATTGCCGCAGCTGCACCGACTAATGCGCCCTGCCCCATCAGAAGCATTGCCCGAACACCCTGGGCCGCAGAGGCGAACCCTGGTAACCAGAAAACCGAAACAACAAACAAACACTTAAAGCCTGAGGAGGGCGCAGCAGTCAACGAACAACGACAGCGCAATATTTGCGAGACCCTGGTCCTTGGTAAGTGTGAAATACGTGATGTCGTCAACGGCGTCACGGCGCAGCTGCCAGCCCAAGAAGGCCCACGTGTGGTGGCCAAGGGACAACCAAAAACTGTCTCCGTACTGGGCGACTTGCAGAGCTGGCACGAGCCTCGTGCAACGGGCCGCGCCCGAGCTAGCAGGGTTGCCAACGCGCCGACGCCGAGTATATTCGTGTAGCCACGCCCATGCCGCTGCAGCTTTGTTCGCCCACTCCTCGTTCAAAGTAGGCCATGATTTTTTCCCCAGAATATTGGACCAGCTCGTTGGTAGCTTGTGCCTGCAGCTCCTGTATTTAGATGCCATTGCCTTTGGTTTCAGCACCTTGAAATGGTTGATGAAATCCTGCTTGCTCACATGTGGTCTGTGAGGCACACCGCGCGCATCGAAAGCTCCACTCGTGTTGACTAGATATTGAAGCCTGTTGTGCTGAATTTTTTAATTGGAATCCGCCCGAGTATCAAGCCGCAACGTGCCATGGGTGTCTTCGCAGCTTTTGTTGCCCGCAATTGTCCAAATCATACCTTTCAGTAAATGCCTTCCAGCGAACGACCTACGGTTATATTTATCACGGCAAAAGAACTCAAACAGCGCCCTGATTGGCTTAGACTTTGCAACCAAGACCATGTCGTCCCACAGCGCCTGTGCTGCGGCATTCGCGTGCCGAACATTCTAAAACCACAAGGTTGTGATGCTCCGTCCTCATCGTCGCGCAGGATCCGTCAGCAATGCGCGCGGAGGGCGACGCCACGGCTGCATAGCTATCAGGGGGCAGGCTGTGCTTGGTCATGGTCCACATCCGATTCTGAACAATGTGCAGCGTCAACGATAATGCCTTCTTGGCCTCCTCGCTCCCCCCTGGGTGCATGCCCATGAACTTCAAGTTGTCGCTGCCGTGAAGAGCATTGTAGACTGTGTTCCACACGTGGTCCTGGAACTGCCACCCTCCATTGGCCAAGCCCATGAGGTAGTTGAACGCATGGCTCGGCGTTTTGATCTTTGCTACCTGCTCAGTATACCAATCCCAACATGGATTCTCAGCCACCTTTCGGAACAGGACGCGCAGCGCCCACAGCCACGCGCGCGCGCCCAATGCATTAGCACATGTTGTGGTTGCGGCATGTCGAACATATTGATCACAAGCCTACTTGTCAATCTGAAAGGCCCGCCACAACCACCCCATTTGCGTTTGAGATTTGGGCGCGCCTGCATGGCTTCGGGAACAGCGCGCCCATGACCTTGCCTTCATGATTTTTACGTTCGCGTGCATCGATGCCGTCATGAGTTGGTATGCTAAACGTAAGCCGCCTCCTGCTTTCAACAGTTTCACAAGTTGCGCCGAAGGATTCCTGCCAGCAAAACCATAGATTGAGTCGGGGTCGACGTCGTCCAGCTGTGACTCCAGCACCATCTTGGTGGCCCAGAACTCAGGGATTTGCTCGTGCGCTGCCTTGTTCCATGCGAACCAGTTGGCCTGCTTTGGCTGGCTCATCTTGTTCTTGAAAGACTCCATTTGCAATACGTTGTCGAATATGGCTTGGGTCTCTGCAATACTGTCACATGGCATGTTCCCATATTTGGCAATGTGGTGCAAGTACTTCCTGAACACTGGAGAATCGATATCAGAAGTTTGAGAAAATATGTCCAGCAGTCTTTTCTTTTTTTCGTGAAATTTGCTCCGCTATTGAAAGGCCTATTGTCCATGCCGTACAGGTACGCTGACCACATCTTGCACACCATAAAAAGAGAATCCATACACTGCTTCTCTGCATTCTTCAAGTCCCTGATGACCCTGTGGATCTTGTCGAACCTGGCGTGGATCATCTTGCCCTGGTGGAAAATAGAAAGCGCTGCCCCTGTTGCCCCGATCGACCCCTGGTCAAGCATCAGCGTCAAAAGCGTGGCCTTCGCACAATCGGCGGGTAAAATTGCAAGCCGTTCTCCAGACATCCTGCCCACCACGTACGCAGTACCCGTTCCGCTCGCCACGTCTGGAACAACCATGCGAGACTCGGTCTGGTCGGTCGGCCTCACATTCGCAGCGCCAGGCAAGTCGAGCTCGTCAAGCGTGCGCCCTGAAAGCAGGCAAAGCTGACGCGGCGTCCCCTGCAACTGCCTGTAGGCGGCCACGCGCTCAAGCTTGCTCCTCGCAGCTATGGTTGCGATGGTATCGCCCATTGATGCGCCGTCCTGCGTGAGCTCCTTCCCTGACAAGAGGTGCTGCCATGGCGGAAACGCGCCAGTGTCCTCAAGGGCGCCGCCCAGAAACTCATTAACTCACCCTCTCCCTCCCCCCCTCCATACGAAGCCCAGAAAACCATGAGTCAAAATGCGAACCCGACCATCACCAGATCCTGAGAAGGCGATATATATATATATATATATATAATAATAATAATAAGAATAATAATAATAATAGTAGTAATCATAGTAGTAATAATAAGGGCAATCCAGCAGGGGAGCGCTGTTTAGGGGAAAGAGCAGAAGACCCCCCTGCCCCCATATCCCCCCCTGCGACCTGAGTGCGCCACCCAGGCCAGCAGGGGGCGCCATAGGGCCATAGGGGGACAGGTGTACAGACCCTGCAGGGCGACGAGAAGCAGCAGGGCAACCCAGCAGGGGAGCGCTGTTCAGGGGAAAGAGCAGAAGACCCCCCTGCCCCCTATCCCCCCCTGCGACCTGCGTGCACCACCCAGGCCAGCAGGGGGCGCCATAGGGGGGCAGGTGTACAGACCCTGCAGGGCGACGAGAAGCAGCAGGGCAACCCAGCAGGGGAGCGCTGTTTAGGGGAAAGAGCAGAAGACCCCCCTGCCCCCTTACCCCCCCCCCCCCCCCCTGCGACCTGAGTGCACCACCCAGGCCAGCAGGGGGCGCCATAGGGGGGGCAGGTGCACGTACAGACCCTGCAGGGCGACGAGAAGCAGCAGGGCAACCCAGCAGGGGAGCGCTGTTTAGGGGAAAGAGCAGACGACCCCCCTGCCCCTTATCCCCCCCTGCGACCTGAGTGCACCACCCAGGCCAGCAGGGGGCGTCATAGGGGGACAGGCGTGCAGACCCTGCAGGGCGACGAGAAGCAGCAGGCAACCCAGCAGGGGAGCGCTGTTTAGGGGGAGGAGCAGAAGACCCCCCTGCCCCCTTATCCCCCCCTGCGACCTGAGTGCACCACCCAGGCCAGCAGGGGGCGTCATAGGGGGACAGGTGTGCAGACCCTGCAGGGCGACGAGAAGCAGCAGGGCAACCCAGCAGGGGAGCGCTGTTTAGGGGAAAAAGCAGAAGACCCCCCTGCCCCCTATCCCCCCCTGCGACCTGAGTGCACCACCAAGGACAGCAGGGGGCGGCATAGGGGGACAGGTGCGCAGACCTTCGCGGCGCCGACACTGGGCGCCACGCGCCGACTGCGGGCCCGCAGGCAGCACAGCGAGCCCAGCGAGGCATGCGCGCAACCCCCGCATATGCCATCCGCGCTCGCTATATGTATATATATATATGTGTGTGTATGTAAATATGTGTGTGCTTACAACAACATATATATATATATGTATATATATATATGTATATATACACACATACATGCATATCGCCCTCTCCCCCGAGACCCGATCCAGGCAGCGAGTTTAAACCCGAAGCCCAGTCCTGTTCCCACGAGTAGGCCAGAGTGACCAGGCACTCCATGTAGCTGTGATGCCCTGGATCAGATACGAAGTTGCAATGGTTGACGTCGTCCTTCGGCCAAAGCTTCTCGCACCTATTGTAGTAAAGCTGCAGGGCGATGTTTATCCATTTAGCCCCTGGCTTTCGGTGCAACCATAAGCGGCCTCGTCGCTTTTCAACGCAAGTGCTGCCTCGAGGCTGGTGCCGACCTGCATAGCCTTCTCGAGCAAGTCCCACGCGGCCTCAGCGTCAACTGCTACGTAATTGCGTTTGCATTTAGTCGTCCGAATAGCAGGGGGTGGGCGCATAACAGCGACATTGCCATCGTTACAATAGCGAGCTTGCACGAGCTCGGAGAACAAAACCCCCAAACACTGCGATACCACAATTAAGAAGCACATGTTGCGAAACGTGTCCAGCCGTTCGCTAGGGCAGCGACCATCAGACCTGCGCTGCTTGCAAACTAAACATATGAACGCAAAGACGTCGGCCAGCGAGTGGCTCTCGTACTGGAAAGGGCGCCGCAATCTGCCTTGAGCGTGCAAGGATCCCCAAAGATGCTCGACCACGTCCGCAGTCGCCTTATGGCCACAGACCTCTGTGCACAGGAGTTGCCACCCATACATGCGCCCATCGCAGTCGATACTGAAACCACCATAGGGGCAATTGAGAATTCGCGGGCCCAGCGGCTGCACCACCGAACAGGACGCGGGTGCGACGTGCCGACACACGGCACATGGCACGTCGACGCCTTGCGCCGACCAAGAACCATCGATGCACTTTGCCAGGGCAACCAGAACGCCGACTGCAGTGCACGCGTTGGCGTTCAAGACATTGGCTGGCGGATCAGCTCGACGCAGATGCACGTGACAAGAACCAGACGTCGCAGGAGCTGAAGACAATGTACTTTTCACGCCGCATAGCCACTTGTGCCTCTTCAGCGTCGTAACACCAGTGTCCCTGAAGTGGGCATCGAGATAACCCAAATCCCACCATAATGCACCAGAGTTGCCGTTCTGCACCCAAAACTGCTTGATTGGAAACGCCGTCAACGGTTCGCCTGCAAGCGTTCTCCGCGCAAGACTTCCAGACTGCACGCAGCCAGGCGTTGCTGCGAGCACTCCTCCCGCGAGGCCAGAGCCACTGCCAGAGCCACTGCGGGAATGAGGCCCTTGCAGCCCCGAGCCAAAATGGCTATCGACAGAAGGGCGCGAACACGGCGATGGTGATGATGATGATGATGATGATGACGATGATGATGATGATGGCGGGGAGGAGGAGGAGGAGGATGAGGAGGCGGGGAGGGGGGTGCTTCTCCCCCCCCCATCCCACCTCCTCCTCCGCCCCCCCCCCCCCCTCCCCCCCACCCACCCACCCTCCTCCTCCCTTCTCAACCCCCCTCCCCCTGCTCCCCCCCCCTCCTCGTGGGGCCATCTGGGAAGCCGCCCGAGAGCACTCCGAAGGCGAAATTCAGAACATGGCTCGAACGAGACGCTGCTTGTTCAAGAAATTAGCCTGGCGAAAGACCCAACCATAAGCAATTGTTAATACCGCAATTGTGAGCATCATCTTCGGTGGAGCTCCCTATGGGGCCACGAACCGTGTGAGGGATGCGCAAAAATGGAGCGGGGCCGCCATGCTGACCTTGCCACTGGGGCCTTCGGTGGAGCTCCCTGTGGGGCCACGAGCCGCGTGAGGGGTGCGCCAAAATGGGGCGGCGCCGCCATGCTGACCCTGCCACTGGGGCCTTCGGTGGAGCTCCCTATGGGGCCACGAACCGTGTGGGGGGTGCGCCAAAATGGAGCGGGGCCGCCATGCGGACCCTGCCACTGGGGCCGTCGGTGGAACCCCCTATGGGGCAACGAACCGTGTGCGGGGTGCGCCAAATGCGGTGCCGCCATGCGGACCCTGCCGCTGGGGCCTTCGGTGGAGCTCCCTATGGGGCCACGAGCCGCGCGAGGGGTGCGCCAAAATGGGGCGGGGCCGCCATGCGGACCCTGCCACTGGAGCCTTCGGTGGAGCTCCCTATGGGGCCACGAACCGTGTGAGGGGTGCGCCAAAATGCGGGGCCGCCATGCTGACCCTACCACTGGTGCCTTCGGTGGAGCTCCCTATAAGGCCACGAACCGTGTGAGGGGTGCGCCAACATGCGGGGCCGCCATGCGGACCCTGCCACGGGGGCCTTCGGTGGAGCTCCCTACGGGGCAACGAACCGTGTGAGGGGTGCGCCAAAATGCGGGGCCGCCATGCTGACCCTGCCACTGGGGCCTTCGGTGGAGCTCCCTATGGGGCCGCGAACCGTGTGAGGGGCGGGCCAAAATGCGGTGCCGCCATGCGGACCTTGCCATTGGGGCTCTCGGTGGAGCTCCCTGCGGGGCCACGAACCGTGCGACGGTTGCGCCAAAATGCAGGGCTGCCATGCGGACCCTGCTACTGGAGCCTTCGGTGGAGCTGCCTACTGAGGGGCCACGAACCGTGTGAGGGGTGTGCCAAAATGCGGGGCCGCCATGCAGACCCTGCCACTGGGGCCTTCGGTGGAGCTCCCTGTGAGGCCACGAACCGTGTGAGGAGTGCGCCAAAATGCGGGGCCGCCATGCTGACCCTGCCACGGGTGCCTTCGGTGGAGCTCCCTGCGGGGCCAGGAATCGTGTGACGGGTGCGCCAAAATGCGGTGCCGCCATGCGGACCCTGCCACTGGGGCCTTCGGTGGAGCTGCCTACTAAGGTGCCACGAACCGTGTGAGGGGTGTGCCAAAATGCGGAGCCGCCGTGCTGACCCTGCCACTGTGGCCTCGGTGGAGCTCCCTATGGGGCCACGAACCGTGTGAGGGGTGCGCCAAAATGCAGGGCCGCCATGCGGACCCTGCCACTGGGGCCTTCGGTGGAGCTCCCTATGGGGCCACGGAACGCGTGAAGGATGCGCCGAAACAGAGACATGCGGAGGGCAGAGGCAAGGGGGAGGGAGGAGGGGGACGAGGAGGAGGAGGAGGAGGAGAGGAGGAGGAGAAGGACGCGGGGCACCGTCTCTTCAAAACGAGGACCCAACACCACAGGATGGTTGGGAAACATCTAAATACATGAAAGCGTTTCGAATCGAGAGTCCACCCGCTCCTTTGTAACATTCGACTGTGGGGGGATGCCCCTACCGATTTGGCTTCTTGCTCGACGCCAGGGGCAATGGCTTCGGCCTCGTCCACAGTTTGATCTCGGGGTCGGCCTCGGCCCCCCAGGGGCAATGGCTTCGGCCTCGCCGCGAAGAAAATGCTACAGCTCAGAGAAGAGGATGCGTAAGGAGGACTTCGCTCGCGCTGGTGCGCTGGAACTCTCATCGACGATCGACGGGGGTGAGGAAGAGGGGGGGGGGGGGGGGGGGGGGGGGTGCGGAATAAAGATGGAGGGGGACGGGGGGGGTGGGCTCGATGAGTTGAAGGAGGAAGGGATGGTAGACATGACACATACATGGGTGTCCGAATGCGGCACGTCGCACAGCAACATTGCCGTGTCCGTCGCCTCCTGGGGCGCAGGGGCGAAGGGGGAAGCGGCGCGCGCCCCTCAGTGGCACATGGGGCGTGCAG